TTTGGGTGAATGTGTAAGCTCATGCTATCTTTTTCCACTTAATGATATCATATGTTTCTGTAGTTACTTGGCGATTTGACATATCGTGCTTTTGTGATCTAAAAACTATAACTACCTGTCTAGGTTGCGGTGGCTCTTTCTCATGCTGCAATTTTGGAAGAATCCATGCGAGCTCGCGATCAGCTTGTACAACAGAATGTAGCTCTAGATTTAGCTCGACGAGAGGCAGAGATGGCTATTTGTGCTCGCAACGACTTTTTGGCTGTCATGAATCATGAGATGAGAACGCCAATGCATGCAACTATAGCTTTGTGTTCGTTGCTCTTGGAGACTGAGCTAACTCCCGATCAGAGGTCTATGATAGAGACCATACTTAAAAGTGGCAATCTCCTTGCAACACTCATCGATGATGTTCTAGATCTTTCTAAACTTGAAGATGGAAGCCTTGAATTAGACACAGGAATGTTCAATCTTCAAGTAACCTTCCGAGAGGTGAACATGAAAATGACAGATTTTCTTTCCGTTCCTTTTGACCAACTATAAATATGTAAACTAAATGCCACGCCTTATCCTTCACCTGTAGGTTGTTAACTTGGTTAAGCCTATTGCATTTGTGAAGAAGTTGTCTATGACTTTAACGTTGTCTCTGGATCTACCTGTTTATGCTGCTGGTGATGAAAAACGGCTACTGCAAATCATATTAACTGTTGTGGGGAATGCTGTGAAGTTCACGAAGGAGGGTTATGTTTCAATTGATGTTTCTGTTGCAAAACCAGAGTATATTAGAGACTGGCAATCTTCTGAATTCCATCCTTTGTCAACTGATGGCCACTTCTACTTGCAAGTGCAGGTAAAATATATAAACACTCTATGGAGCTTGTATTTTCCATTAAGGGCATGCTTGGTGCTTAGTTGTACATGACCGTACACTATAATTGATAAGATTTTTGCTTCTTTTTTTCTTCATTAACATTGTCCAATCCACCTTACCAAACATGAAAATGTTTAAAGGCTTCCTTTTTCTTGTATGATCTGGCGGCTGAGGGTCTCAGGTTCTCAGTCACACTTTATTAGCCAATAACACTTGCCTACTTTGTTTTGGTCACAAGCTTCTTTAGTAATAAAATAACAGAATTCCTCTTTTTCCGAACATATTTATGCAGGTGAAAGACTCTGGGTGTGGTATCGACCCTCATGATATTCCACTTCTTTTCACGAAATTTACCGAGTCACAGAGTGCATCAAATCGACATAAAGGCGGTGCAGGTCTTGGACTCGCCATTTGCAAACGGTATTAATTCACAGCATAGTTTACTTCGTAATTGCTAAGATTTCAGCGTCTAGCCACCTTATAGGATTTTAATTTTCTTGCATTTGAGTCTTGCAAAAAATGAATAGATGAGCAGAGCTCGGTGTTTCTTTATGACTTCGGGGAATTTTCAACCTCTTTACATATCATAAAATGATGAACTCAGGTTTGTCAATCTCATGGGAGGTCACATCTGGATTGAGAGCGATGGTCAGGGCAAAGGTAGCACATTTACATTCATAGTGAAGCTTGCTACTTGCAACTATCCGAATGAATTTCCAGGGAGATCGGTTGCAGGTGTAGATAGAGCGAATCAAATAAGGGACAACCTTTTTTAACTATATACAGTTTGGCAGAGATGACGGAACGTCTTCATCAGCTCCACGCTACCAAACAAGTCATTAGGTAAGATGCGTAAGAAACATTGAAGAATAAGGCTTTATAAGCATAATTTTGTGCATTGATGAATATGGAGCTGTCATTCATCCATTTGATAAACGTGTATGTTTGGATACAATTATTGTGTATCCCTATTCCATAATCTACAATATACGGAGATGTAGATCTACCCAGATGTCATTATAATTCATCGAATATTTAGAAGTTTCAAAAGGTTTGCGACGTTATCTCTAGACCACACAACTTAGCTTGTATTCTCCATTGATGTGATGTTTAGTAGGTAGATTATATAGAAGTATTAAAGAATTGTACTGCATAATACAATCTACTGCCGCTGNTTGCATCTGTCAAATTTCCATATCAATGACTGGCCTGATCAATCTTCAAAAAGTTATGCTGTGATGGTTCTGATTCTGAATGGTATAAGAAAATGGCGTGATCATGAGTTAGAACTCGTGGAAGTTGTTGCTGACCAGGTTTCTACAGACAGCTTTCTCTCTTTCATTACTGTTTTGCTATAATACCTTATGAATCTCTGTTTACTATTCATTTTCTGCTTGGTGTCCTCTTCAGGACTGTGCAATAGACTTCATTACTTGCTTTTTATTCTGGCAAACTATTGTATTATTATTCATACATCAAATGCATTTATCTTTCACAAGGTTATATCATTAGTTCATAGCTACACTCATTATTGGTTATGATTGTAGATTGTACCTAATTTTAGGCCATTAAAATTATGAATTGACTAGCAGATAATAGTAGTTTCCTTGATGCATTTAGAAGCTCATGTATTAGTGTTGACACGTTTCTATTTCCATACATATATTCTATTTTTTCTCCTTAAGTTGGTGCTACTTCCTGGGACAAAATAAACTGAAATCTGACCTCCTCTTTTCAAATTTATACTAGATATATATGTGATAAAATTTCATGTATCCTCTCAACATGTGAATTTTCTGTTAGTAAACGGACAAGAAAAAAGGGGATGATCACCCCCAATATACTCTTCCTTTCTTAAGGACTCATAATATTCGATGTAGTACCATTTCCTAGAGAAATTTAGATTTTTCCTCAAACCTTTTTTCCGTTGTCTGATGCATCTTTCAGCAAAAGCATCTTGGGACAAAATATAAGTACACTACATGTGCCGTTTTTGTGCAATATCATTATTTAGAGCCATTTGATTTTTGCTGCCTCAAGAATTAAGATGGCTTGCTTTCCTGCTTTTGCTCTAATATTCCTGTCACAATACTATAAAAAATTGCAATCATTACTCTCACCTAAGTGTTGGCTTGATTTCCAGCTATTGTTCTGATATTATTGTGTTATTATTGTCCCCCATTAATTGGCTCGCTTTTCCACCACCTAATTTTCTTGTGTTAGATACTTGTACAATGTCATACAGTCATTGTGCGGAGCCATTTCATTTCCATGTATATTCAATCTTTATTCACTGTTTTGTTAAAAAAACATCGAGTGAAATATGCACTTCATTGAAGGCATGAAATGTCGAACGAGTTTTTTTATGGTCAATCTGTTCTGCATTGCATTTTATTGAATTTCATGTTACTACACTATAAAAAGTGGCAACATGACAGGAGTGAGGAAAAGAAACAAGAAATGGATACATTTCTTAAATGTGAATATCACTTTTAAGAGCTTCTACTCTAAGATCCGGGGAAATTAAAACAGTTAACAACCATATCAAACTACGTTATTTTGAGTCTACCCCTTCTTTCTGTAATATGTTACTAGGACCATGCTGTTTTTATGAACAAGAATTTTTTAGGTACACAGAATACATGGCCAGACCATCAAAGTTGTCATCCCCTTGATTTATCCTCAACTAGTGTTATCTCTTGTTGGTTGTCATAATCTCATTTTTTTATTTTACCCACTCTAGTATGGCCATGCTTACATTTTAGCACCTTTATTTTTGCCAAGTTAATCTTATGGACATCTTATCTTTTAATGGCTTAACTCTTAGAATCGAATAATTAGCTATCATTCTATTTAACTTGTCTGTTTTCACTTGGTGGACCTTGTGCAACATAAAATATTTGTACTACTCCATTTAATTCTATATGCCATGGTCCTTTGTACTAAATCATTTTCAGTTTATCGTTCCAATAAAATAATCGAATCTAAGAACCGAATAATCCTATCTTTTGACACTGCTACCTTTCTATTCCTATTATAATCAAAATAACATTCTATATATTTTTAGTCTTATAGTCCTATTGGACCTAAAATTCTTAACATTTACAAGTGCTGCTTCAAAGTTTTAACTTGTCATTTAAATCTCTGCTTGTCTCGCCAATCAAATTATATTATGAGCATAACATACCAAGGAACCTCACTTTGGGTGAATGTGTAAGCTCATGCTATCTTTTTCCACTTAATGATATCATATGTTTCTGTAGTTACTTGGCGATTTGACATA